GATTTGAGAACTGGTAGTAAATTAAAGTTATTATTTTTTGAGACGTTCATAAGTGTACTTAGGTACTTATATGAATAAATTATTTTTGACTTTGACTTATGTTGTCTTTACATGGTATCAATTTTAGAAATAGACAGTACACGACTCCCATCGCCTCTTACGAATTCTTTATATCTAAACTAAAATTACAATTTCTGTACGCTCTGCTGTCCACTATGAACATGTAAAAAAAATAAGGATCGTTTTTAAAAATAAAATAGAGGAGGACTCACAAGCGTGGGCTACACTTGACGGTAGCTGAAATAAACAAGATGAGCTGTCGACCCATTTTGGGGCTTTGGATATTAGGAAATACACAGAGTGAAATCAAAGGGGTTCGTAACCTGGTGACGGAATTTCGATATTCCTACCACCCATTAAATATCCAGATTTCCAGACGAAGTCCAACATGTTTCATAAAATAATAATTAATAAAACACATGCTGGAAACTATGTGGATCGAACCCTTGACCAGTCGATTATTAGCCAAACTTAGCTACCATAACACCAGCGAGCTCGTCAAATCTATGTTACCAGTATTGTTGTATTGTAACGGTTTTGTTGGCTCAATTTTTTTTTATTTTTGAGAAAGTGTCTATCAATATGTAGGGCTGCGTAAAAATAAATTGATATAAGACGCGGCGCAGAACATCTTAATTTCACTTTGATGGAAGCGGCTCGTTCTTTTATCATCGTCTGTTTTCTTTGAAACATGACACCGCGCGGAAGGACAATACTCGCTAAGTACAATAATGACAGGCAATTTGAAAACATGCTAAAAGACGGTGTCGCATTGTGTTGAAAGGCATTTCAAAGTTCCAAGTTATAATTATTTTATCGAAAGCTTTTTGATCAATAAATATTACAAAGAGAAGATGGAAGGAGACATGTAAGTAATTTATAGAAAGAAGGTACTGTAGTGTTGAGTAAATTAAAATGTACTCTAAAAAATAAGTTCGACCTACGTATTATTCTTTAAATATTTATTTAAATATAAAATTTACGTACTTTTGTATACGAAATTTTAACAGTTGAAAACACGAAATAATTTAAATACTGTCTATAGTTTACGCGATTAGTATGCATTCGGATGCTTTGCCGTGGTCACGGGGAAACAAAACGGGCTAGACGGCCGCTGCAAAGCATCCGAAACGTCGGGCCGAAGTTAAAAATCATTTTCAAATAAGTTTAAGTTTAACGCATTTTAATTTAAACGAAGTAATATAACTTATTTATTAAGTACACACAACCTCACGGCACACACTGACGACACGCCAAATCTACGACCCGACGGTTCTTAACATACAAAAGTGTTAGGAAACGTCAAGTACTAATTTACGGTTTAAACCGATAAGACTATAATAATTAATTATGTTTCTACAATATTTGAACATTAGTGGAGAGGTGCAAAGTCTTCAAAAGGACGTTGGAACGAACTTCACATTTTTGTTCGCACATCAAAGCAAAATGTTTTTTGGGTCACGTTTTCAAAACTTAAACCCCAGTCGCTTAGAAGACAATGCTATATTAATGACCTGAAAACGCTTTGGGCTTTAGTCACCCTATTTTAGACTGACCCCTTTTTTGTAGGTACTAGTACCTGTTTGTAAATACCGCTGAACTGGAAAAACACTGGTCAAATGACAGTGTTGTAACTTAGACTGAATGAAATTTAAAATGAAACTCTTCATGCAATATAATATGTTACTAGCAGGTTATACATCATGGAAGTGTGTATATGTCGAGTTCTTAATTAAATCAAAAATAAAAATCTTATCCCTTAGTACTTGCAGATTTTCAGCCTTTACTATATATTAAAAAACGAAAAAATCATAAAGGAACCTTATTGAAGTTTTTTATGCATTAAAGTGGTTAGGTGCACTAGTACTTACATAATTGTGCTCCATTGGGGTCGTGGGTTTGTAACAATCTTGGTCCAAACAAGTATTTGAATTTTATCAAGAAAAATACGCGATTAAAAAGATTACCGATGCTTGATACATAGGAAGTAAGAAGATTGATATAGTAAGTAACGAGTTACACATCGAAGCGGTTTACTCACATACTAAAATTACAAAGCTGAAGATTTTGTTTGTTTGAGCGCGTTAACCTAAAGCAATAATGGTGCAAACTGAAAAAAATTTTGTAGTTATTGGGCGTTTATAGGAACGTTTTAGGCTATAGAACATCAGGCTTCGACTAATAGGAACGTAGGAACAGGCGGAAATGTGGAAAAAACAGGGAAATTGATCATCTTTGCGGGCATCAAACAAAATATACAACTGAATGTCTTCTTTACAAGATCTAAAAAAAACGTTTGCGATGTTAAGATTTTTAGTTATCGCCTAAACGATGTCGTGGATAACAGCTATAATTTTTATTAATTATATCAAACTTGGTCGCAATTAAGAATGTTGTAAGACAAACAAAGTTCGTCTGATCAAGCAAATAAATAGAAGCGACGAATTGGTTTTTCTAAATATACGCAACAAACTCGAGTCGAGTAAATCTCTAGCGAAATAAAACGAGATCGCAAAACTGTTAATAAAATGAACTTTATGGGAAGGACGCGCTGAGTGCCTTCAACTAGACAATTCATCTGCGGTGCCCAAGTGACATAAAAGTTTTATGTAACTCGTAAGTGGGGTTCCGTGCCAAAAGGGCGAGTGAGGAACCACACTACTAAAACTTCGCTGTCTGTCTACCAGGCTGTATGTCAAGAACTCCGATAGCTATAGAGCTAGTATTTTCATAGTATCTTAAAACAAAATTGACCTGTTGGTAATAACAATGTATGGCTAATAATATCGTGGGTTTGATTCCCACCGGTTCCAAGAGTTTTCTCATCAATTTATTTCTGAAACATTTTGGACTTCTGTCTGTAGTTTACACGAGTAGTACACATTTAAATAAAAACATTTTAACGGCTTAATACCCGATATATATATATATATATATATATATATATATATATATATATATATATATATATTATATATTAGTTAAGGTCATGACCACGGCTGCTGCAAAGCATCCGAAACATCGGGCGGTAATTTAAATAATTATCAAATAAGTTTAATATATATCGCACGTTAAACCCTTAAAGTGTTTTATATTGGACCTCTTCTGGAAATCTGGATAAATGGGTGGTGGGAATATCGAAATTCCATCCGGGTCACGAACCACCGTTCTTAGATGAAAAAGCCGTGAAGTTTCATTACGGTTCGGTTTCATTCCTTCGTTGTGGAATTCCGAATATCCAAAGCCAAAATAATTCGACAGCGCATCTCGTTTAAATGCTATACGATGATCCTATCATAAAAAAACTAAAACAAAACAGTAGGTAACCCATATAAAACACGTAATGTAATTCCTTGTTTTTTTCTTAATATCCATAAATGGTAATATAGTGGCATTTTAAATAACTTAAAAAAGGTTACGCGAATTGTATTTGTGTGTCTATTCATAAAGACAGGCTAGCTTGGGATACACTTGATGGTAGGTGGAACACCTCAGCCATAGATGTTATCTTAACAACGCTGTCGACCTAATTTGGTCTTAGATCCGAACCGAATCGCCGTTAAACTTGACGCCCTTTCATGCCTTGCCATTTCAGGCATTTCTATGGACGGTGGTTTGACTCATTCAACATCTTGGTTCCAGACCGTCCAACATGTTCCAGTTATTATACATTGATTAGAAAAATCTTGGAACCGGTGGGGATCGAATCCACGACCTGTTGATTACTAGCCATACTTTGCTACCATAACACCAACGAGCCAGTCAAGTTATTTACAATTTATTTTAACTACGCGTTTTAAACCCTTAAGTGTTTTATTGTAATGTGTACGACCCGCGTACATTAAAGACAATACTTTTGGGTAACAATTGTGAACCTAGTCATTGGTACGGAACCTTCGTGTGAAAGTCCGACACACACTTGACCAACTTTGTGTTTATTTCAAAAGAGGGTTTCGATGTCGTCACAGTGAAACGGGTGTTGGGAAAACAATTGTGTTGCCTTTGTCCCGCGGTTAACCCGGCAGTTTCTTAAAAATCTTTTATATTGTCTCCTACATTACTTTGCAGTACGTTGGCTTCTTAAGCTTTCACTTATGAATTATTCTCAGTAAAGAATAATACTTTGTTTAAACGCTTTTTAAAAGTCACCATTTTAATTTATAGCTTTGTTATGTTTTTATTTCACGTGTTTGAAAGCATTTAGACTATCGAAAGTTAAAAGTTGCAATATCTGCCTTAGCCCTTTAGCATATTACGATGTGCTGTCGGTTTATTTTGCTCTATTTCGTAATTCACAAACTAAAATTTAAAGACGTATACTTCTTTGGTTTTCCTCATGTGGCACGAAAATAATCTCGATATTTTTGCCACATGTCTTCGCAAAATATAATATGATTTAGAATCATGGTTCCAATCGGAATAGAACGCAGGATCTATTACTTGTTAACTATCGGACCCCCAGTCAAAAATTTAATCTTAATTTGGTATTAATTATTATTTGTTTTATTGATTTATTACAGCACAACAACAGGTTACCTACATTTTTATACACATGTTAAATTAAAATTTGTATGTACGATCCAATTAGTAATGTGCACATAATTGTCGATTTGGTATTAGTATTAAAAAAAATAAACAGAGTAACTGAACCTAATAATAGTAAATTATATATTTATAGTAGCAATACTTTATTTTTAAGACGTTTATAGACAAGCTATCATTTTTTTTAGGAATATTTATAATGTAGGACTAGACACACTTCCGCTAGTATTATCGCCCTTTCAAATATAGTAGCAATGGAACAGAATCCCAGAATCCATGACACATTTAATTTTCACTCCTTACAATATATAACGTACAACTTCTGAAGCAGTACTGCTTTTTGAACACCCTCGGTGAAAAGAAGCCCCTTTTCCGCTTAAAATCCTTATTTTAAAGTGATGGTACTTCTACGCTACTTGGCCCCACTCAATCACCCTACCATTCCACCACTCCATTGGCTAGCGGAAATCAGAAAAGTCGGTCCCGACAAATTTAAAAATTGATTACAATCGTCAAACTTATTACTTCGTAACATTACTATAAGTAAACTTACTATCTATCCTAATATATGAAGCTAAAGAGTTTGTTTGTTTGAACGCGCTTATCTCAGGAACTACTGGTACGAATTTAAAGAATATGTTTGTGTTATTTAAAGCTTTTATTAGGTATTTATGGGTTATCATCGCGCTGTGATTAAGAAACGATGATTTCTCTTTAAAGCATCTAAAAAAATCCTTTATATAGCACTATAAGTTTCTTATATAAAATTATAAGAATAACTTGCTAGAAGAACGGAACGTAACGACCGACGTCGGGTAACAACTTAAATTAAATATGTAGAGGAGGTTTGCAAAAACAAATTTTCGTGCAAAAAATAAACTATTCTACGCAGACGAAGTCACCGACACAGCTAGTTTTAAATCAAAGTCAATTGATTTACGCTTTACATTGATTTAAATAAACATAAAATCAAATATCCCTAACACAATATGGGGATATTTATTAATTACACTACGAACACCAACGAAACGTAAGTAAGAAAACCGCAAAAAAGACATCAAAAGGCAACTATGAAAGCAAAACTTTACGTAGCTATACGTAAATCTACCTCGTACAGCGAGCTCTGAATTCTTATTCATTTGGCGCAGCAGGTGCCGGCGGCGGCATGCTAGGCGCGCGGCTCAAGTCATGGATGGAAGCGCAGCTGGGGCGGGCGAAGAAGCGGAAACAGAAGCAGACCAGACAAGCCACACCTCCGTCATCAGGCCCAACCGCCCCACCGCATTTATCATCGCCTGAAAGCGCGTACAGTACCGGTTACTCCACAGATGGCACGTCCCCGGGTGCGCCGCCCGCCCTGCTCGCCGCTCCGCTTGTGGCTCCACCGCCCCCGCCCACGCCTCCCACCACACACTTGTACCACGAACCCGCTAAGGTAAGTTCAAAGTGTACATATTTGAAATTTTTTGTTCTGTTGCCTGCGTGCTTGTAAACGAAATAAATGTATCGCGAATTCCTCTATGCGGTGACGAATGTTGATTTATTAACTTGACTTTTAGTTTGTATTTGAAATATTTACAGTAGTTGATATTTAAAATAGCTTAGCTGTAGCTTGGAAGCTAAGGTTCACCCTTATGTAAGCGCTTAAGCTGTACGGGCATTTGAAATTTTTTAACGTTCCTACGGTTTTTCACTGATATAAAAATTTCATGTTTACGTAACAGGAATACAATATACCGAATGTCCAAAACCAAGATAGGTTAAGCGCATCTTGTTTCGATGTTATATTACGGTTATATTATTATTGAATCGCTCGCGTCCTAAGCAAAATTCTATTGAACGCCCGCCCGCCTCTCGTGACATGAAACGGCTAAGACGAGCGTAAACAAAAGCAAGTGTGGTGACATTTGCATACGCGCTGTTCCCATCCCTTTTATTTTCATACTAGGACAGGTAGATGACAGGGGTTGCGACATAAATAGAAGTATGTGGCGCGGGCCCGCAGATGCGCCGTCGTAAGGACTTAAGGGCGTTAGAGAGAGTAATGGTCCCTATTGAAGTTTTATCTTTTAACACCTTTGCTGTTTTGAAGCTAAGTCCTATTGTTAAACCACTTTGATACTTTACAAAACTACCGTTTGTAGTGTAGCCTCTGTAGCTCGACAGGTCCTGTGTTTGAATCCCGGGGAAACAATTGTTTCGGTCGGGCACGGCACATAAGTGTGATCGACTACTTATCGCCTGTAAATAAAACCGATCAGTAAAACGGACACAGAAATATGTTCGCCCCATGCCCCACTAGGGGAAATGGGATTTCATACAAGTGGTTCACCATTCAGAGGATTCGTTGTACTTTATGGTGAGAATATATTGGTTGGTAATGTCTTTGGTACACTTTGTAGAACAATTCGAACGGTTTAAAACGCGAAATAAATATTCTGACTTTTTTTCCGGTCTGAATTTTCGCGTGCCTTGTTTTTAAAAAGTAGTAAATTAAATTTTCATGTTTAAAACGGTTTAAAGATATTGATTTTCCGAGAATGTCTAATTCAATAACCGTTCCAGTAATATGAATTAATGATATCGTAAACGGAAAACAATTCCTAGACTCAACGATTTAGGTACGGTCTCGTACAAATTAGGAAAATTGAATTTTGCCAGCTGTTAAAGTTAAAACAGCGGGGGTTAAAATCCCCGCTTCGCGGCGGTAATTTGCTAATTTGGGATTTTCCAGGATGCAAATAAGGTAGATTATCGTGTGACGTGATGGATAGGGTAGGCCCTATGTGTACGTTCATCACTCACGTTAAAGTAAATTCCATTAGGTTGGTTTCCTGCATACGTAAAACGTTCAATAAAGTAACGATGTTACAGTAGCGGGAAGGGGTACTTTGAATTTCGTACGTTCAGCTATACGAACATGTAAATAACTATACGTAAAAACTGTCTACAATTTACGCAATATGTACAAGTACACATTAAAAAATACATTTTAACGGCTTAAAACGCGGAATATATACCTAAGTCTCCTCGTGACCACGGTAACTGCGAAGCATCCGTAGATAAAATAATTTTCAAATAAGTTTAATTCCTATATTTCGCGTTTTAAATCGTTAAAGTGTTTTATTTAAAAGTATAACGTAATTACGAAGTTATGAAATTGTAGATTTTTAGACAGCGATATAGGTACGACTAGATGATTAACAAATTCCTCTGAGCGAAGAAGAAATGTATCAAAAGAAAACGGATTGTGCCGTATCACAGATCTGTATAATTTAAGGTTCTAAGAGATTCTTAAATTCACGAGAAAACTTCAATGAAAAATCCTGAGTGACACTAATTTAAAATCTTTCAATCAACGAGGGCACTGTGTACTACCACTTAACATAATACATTTTTCGCGTATCAAACTGTTATAATTGTTTTATTTACACTTTCAAATTAACGACCGCCTTCGTAGCTAAATGGTTAAACGTGTTACCAAGTATTTCGTAAAGTATAATAAATAATATATACATATATACTTTGTTCTCTTTAAAATTATAAGAATTATTTAGATTCGTCAAAAAAAAAATTTAATAATATGTTTGTCCGTCCGTTCGTCGTCTACAGTGTGTTCAAAAGAGCAACATAGACGATAAGAACACCCCAGAAACTCGGTCTGGCTTTTTTCAACGTTATAGGTTCGAATGCCGGGCAAATATCAAATTGTCTTCGTCAGGAAGGGCGCAGAAGTCTAAGCAACTACTGCCTGTAAGACAATCAATGAAACAGAATCAGAAGCTTTTATGCTTTCAAATTATTTGCACTGCGTAATAAGATACACATTTTTTATGACAGAGTAAGGGAGACAAGTATGCAAGCCGTATAACAACTTAATGTCTGTCGACCTATTTTGGCTTTGGACATTCGGAAATTCAGAGACTGAAACTAAATCACTATTCAATTGTTATTAAACCCGGCTATTTCATCTGTGAAGTTTGTGAATTTCGATAATCGTACCACCATTTCATATCCAGATTTCCAGACGCAGTGGACTACGTGTTGGAACATGTTTCAGTCAAATAATAAATTGATTATAAACATGCTGGACATGGTGGGGATCGAACTCACAGCGCGTTGCCACAAATAGACCAACGAGCTAGTCGAAATGTTGGTGTATAATGCCAAATTAGCACAAAAATATATCTTTTCAATAAAAAACTTTAACGGTTTAAAACGCCATATATTATTTTAACTACAGCCCGACGTTTCTGATGCTTCGCAGTACCCGTGGTCAAAGGATACTTACGGGTCTCCCCGTGGTCCAATATATATCGCGTTTTAAATTAAATAATTAATATAACTCTTGTAAGGTACAGGCCGTATATAAAATATCTCTTGTTAAATTCATCACTGATGACTGATGATTGATTTAGTTAAGCTATTAATAGCTACGGGACTGTCATAACTCCATATTCGTTTGCCTGCTTTACTTTATTATCTAGACCGGATAAAATTAACTAGGGAGGGTTTTCCCTACTGCATAAATTGCCTATTAGCTTCGTGATGGACTGTAACTTAATTTGTCTTTGTACGAGACCTTTTTGTTCATGTTACTTATATCCCTTAAATCTGGTAGCTCAATTGGTTAGAGCAACGGCACGGAACGCAGACGATGTCGGTTCATGTCCTGCCCGAGCCGTAAATTTTTCAAATTATTTTTCGATTTTAATTCACTGTCAACAGATGGCACCACTTGTCTCCTAAAACGCGCTAACGATATTTTCCCAACATTGACATCAAGACCTGAAGGTCCTTCTCTCTTTCTTCCTTGTCTTGGGGAGCATAGTGCGCAGTGATCGTAAAGTGAGAGCACTGATGCTGACACCCAAATGGTTAAACCCGCGCCCGGCTGCTGAAAGGGAGTCCGAGCGCAATTTTTGTATGGCCCTTTTACTTCATAGAGGGCTAATGCGTATGTGTAGACATCAATAGATCAGAAATATTCTTGAAAACGGATGGGACAGAAGAATACTGCTAACCTAAGCAACCCCCCCCCAAAATACAGAAATAATTGAAACCCTTAGAAGACCATTAAAAAAATCCTATATTTACTTTCTCTCAGTAATTGCTGTATTATTGTGTAAATTGTTGTACTGGCGATAAACGATTTTTTATTTCTTTATTTTAACATTTTTAGGACGATCATGTGCAAAAATATTTGAGTTTTAAACGTTAACTTTGGAATTTCATCTTCAATGATTTTCTTAAGCATTGAGCCTTAATACGCATGTGTTAAGTTTAAAATTAAGCGCGAGAAGTGAATGTATCAATAGGTTTAAAATAAATCTACGATGATGACATATAGGACACCGTAGCTCAATTGGAGAGCAACAGCACTGAATGCTTTGTATGCCGATTCAAGTCCTGCCCGAGTCGTAGATATGTTCAATTTATAATAAATAAATTTTTAATTGATCTTTTCAGCGTCGCTCCAGCACAACAGCGACTAGTCGGAAGTTCGTCCCAGAGCCTCCAGCGCAAGTGTGCGCAACGCCCTCACCTCGGCCAAGATGCCGCATCCGCACAAATCCGTGGCTCGGTGCCACGTCTCCAGCAAGGAAGAAACCACCACATCTTCTGCACCAACAGTCCTTGCAAATTCCTCAACAGCCGGTTCTGCATCACGCTCCGTTCTCTTTAGACTCGCATATCAAGTATGGTCCAAGGTAATGATAGATTAATCAATGGTTTAAAAGTTGATAAACCAAAATTGAATTTCAATCGAATAATAATAATAAAACATTTTTTTGCACGAACAAATAGGAGTACTAAATAACAAGTTTACATAAAAATTTTATGCAAAGGCGGCCTAATCGCCTGTGGCGATATCTCGTAGGCGACCTTTGTTCACAGGAGATAGAAACAAAGGAACAACAAACAATTAAGGAATCAACAAGATATAAAGCAATAAAATCCTAAAATAGATTCAAATGCGATAATTGAAACAAATTGAAATCATTTATTTATTTAAATAGACATATTAAAGGCAAATATTTGGCTAGTTTGCAAAACGTTTTGAGATCGAGGTGTTCCGCCTTCGTAATCAAGAATTTGGTCTATACGTGTCGCCATTGCAAGTGGCTGATTCGTCGAAAACTTAATAAGTCATACTCAAGTTGCTTTAAAATCATTACAGATCCCCCCACGTATCGCCACACTTATCCCCACATTTATCTCCGCAACTATCTCCTCAATATTCGCCACATTTGTCGCCGTACCGTCAACCGTATTATCGAGGTGCATCCAGCGATGAAGAGTACAGAGGACTCAAGTCTCGAGGCCAAGAAACCGCTATTTTGTCTGATGCCGATGTTGATTCTGATGGAGACACGGGGTTGGATGGTGGAGATGAGGACGAAGCAGATAGTACAGCTTCGCCTGGAAGACGTCGGGCGAGGCGACGAAGGCCACCGAGACGTCCGCCGCGATCAGCCGGTTTGTTCTCAAATGTTTTGGTCAATTTTGAGTTTAATTATGTTCTCTCATGGGCGAATTATTGTGGCCCATATTTGCTCCTAGAGTTATTTTACTAAAAACTTACATTTGTTTAATACGACAACAGCCCATCTGTCTTAATTATGACTTAGTAAATGTTTAAAAAAATATATATATTATTATTTTTCTCGTTTTTGTAAAATAAATCTGACCCCTTGAAATAATAAAAATCGATTAAATTGATTGATTGGTGGCAAGACTTGAACCGTTATCCACGGCGGTCCGTGATGTTGCTCTACCCAATCAAGCTTGCACGTAATCGCCGATTTCTTAAAGCTATGGAGCATGGATACATGCACGTAATGTTGTTTCTACCTTAACACTTGCGTATAAAGAAATTTATTTGAGATAAGAGATACAAAAATAGCAACATACACTTTCATGAACACCGTCACAGACCATAAATTCAATCTGTGGATATCCGAATGTAAAACCAAAATAAAGTCCATACCAAATCTTAGTTAAATTTTTCATGCGAGTGGCATTTTTACCTTCCATCCTTACCCTATACCATTCAGTCTTCTGTCATAAGAAAACCTATTTTAAAGCTATTAACAGCCTATTTTGAAATTTTAGGATAAGAATCTATTGTACTGTATGTTATCTTATTATAGATTGTAATTTTTTTTGGTTATAGGTTGATAAAATTCGACGATGACGTGTAAGGGACAGCACGTCAAGTAATTCCAGTGTCGTAAATTGATTTCAATTTATAATCGCTTTTTAATTTGATTATTTTTGTAAGTTTAGGGCTGACTCTTCATATCTTTGTCTAAACATTCCCTTTCTTTCCAGGAGCGACACCACCGCGTATGCGCCGGCGCCACGCCCCGTCAGCACCTCCCGTAAGAGAACGGGACCCCCTTCTAGAAGCCGATCGAGAAGCGGAACGAAAATACCGTGAACTGATCCGCGAAGCTGAGAAACTCCTCGTCACAGTCTCCCGGGCACCCATAGAACCCCCGCACAATCCGAGAGTTGTTGAACTTAGAGCCACAGAGGTTAGTCTGGACGTCGAAAGTGACACAGCGAAGTTGAACGAGGAGACTTATATTTAAAAAAAAATTGATTACAATTTTTCTTTATATACACCGTCGATAAATAACGACTTTGAAGTATATAAATTAAAAATCTATAATAACATAACTTTAGTTTACGGCTACTGTAAAGCATCTGAAACGTCGGGCCGTAGTTAAAATTATTTTCAGATGAGTTTAACTAATATATATCGCGTTTTAAACCGTCAGTGTTCTATTTAAATCTATTATACATTAAAAAAATACGACTCGGGCAGTGTTGATCTAACCATCTTATAGTCCTATCATGTACAATATTATATGTGAGTTAGATTAGACATTGCAAAATAATCGGATAATAAATTATAACATATATAACAAAACATCGTTTTAAACCGTTTTTTTTGTAATTTGAACTCGCGTTTACTATTAGGTTTTGTTTACATCTGTTATACATACAGTCCTATAAATTTGCCAAAAATTGTGATTTGTTATCTAGTCCTACTGTGTCCATGTCACCTGTGTACCTAATTCCCAATGTCTCATTTTAAGGTGGATTGTCCCCGTCGCAGTCCGGAACGCACTCATATCACAAACTTTATCCGAGCGAACTCCCCAGAAGCCCCTCGCCGTTCGTCCCCCGTCCCCCGACGGTCACCCCTCGCTGCCCCGCCACCCCCTGCCCGCATACCACATTACCCACCTTCCCCCACTGATAGACCTCATTCTGAGCCGCCGAAAAGGAAGATGTATGCACGAGAGGAGGTAAGATATTAATCAAATAATATTTTAGAGAATTTTCACCAAAACATATTTTACCTATTCTGCAGAAGTTAAGACAAAACTAAGGTTCTTTTCAGACTAATTTTAAATAAAATAACTCCTACGCTAATCTGTGTAAATGAGTTGGCCATTTGTTATATTACTGCATAGCTGAAAAGAAAATTCGTATCTGTTTTGAGTCTTACCAGAGAGTGAAAAGAGGATTAGCGGGTTTTAACACTAAACAATTTTGGACTGGGATTCGAATCCCTGGAGTATACCAACTATTATATCGACGTGGTTATGTATATCGTTTTGTTTACATAATTTCCAGGTATTACAAACGTTGGAGGGACTTAGGAAGAGTTTGCAGCAACAATCCGCTCTATTGGCGGTGCAGAGAACTCGTCTCGACTCCCTGTAGCCACTTCTAGTCCTTGCCAAATAGATGTTTTCTTTACATGACCATGTAGTAGTATTTGTTGTCACTTGCATCTAGACGTTTATTGTTTTCTCTTCGAAAATACATGTAAGTTTAGTTCCTTTAAAATTCTCTACAGAAAATTTGGGAATTTAAAACCTTTAGCTTATAACCTGGAAAAGACTAGTCACCCACGTCCACCCAGTCACACAGGCTGGCCCTAGTGTGGGGACTAGGGACTCTCTATTCTGCATCTCTAGTATATGGAAACAATAAAGAATTTTTTTATTTAGATTTTTGGCAAAAGCGTAAATACGTTACCCCCGTGGGGAATGAGGCAAACACATTTCTGTGTCCGTCTCACGAATAACCAGTCGTTGATTAGACTTCTGTGCCGTGCCCGAGCGAAACAATCTATTGTTTCCCCGAGATTCGAATCTAAAACACAAGTCTTCACTATTTAGCTACAGAGGGTGCCAAATTTTCTTTATTTTAATTTTAATATACAATCTAGTCTACTGTATGCATAAAAACTCGAAAGACGGATTACCAAATAAACTCTACAGTGATATAAAGTAGGTACCACTGTAGGTATATTCAGTATCTCTTTGCAATAACAAACATTTTGGACTACTTCTATATGAAAAAAACTTCGTTTAAAATGGTTTTAGCAATAATATGTTAATTATAATCTGGATGCAAGTGCGAATTTAATAGTTCTTCCATTCTTTCCTCGTGAAATCCCTCCAAGTTTCTAGTCTAGGTAGTAATCATACTTTTAGCATTAGTATTTTTATTGGCAGATAAACCTTTGACAACCTAAATACAATTGAAATTACAGCTGGCTTGAACATCCTACTGATTAGCATTTGTTTAATTTATAATATAATAAAACCGGAATGGTTGATAAAGTTCCTACAGTGTAAAGCTTAATAATTTGATTTCCAACGGCGATTGTGTAAAGATCTTTCTGCCAGTAAAACATTATTCTATAGCAAGTAGGGTTGTTATTGTTTCGTGTATAGGCGGAGCCATCTTTATTGTACTTGTAGCATCAATTTATTAGTAGCCTGTAGATGCAGTTGGCCGTTTGAAGCCAGGAAACAGATTTGGCGTTTTTCTTAGTTTGTGGTCTCCTAAACTCGCGTTGCGCTTGCTATATAAATATACCGTTGCTGTCATGTCGTTAAAGTTAAGCATACGCGTGTCTCTAGATTACAAACGATTGATATTAATTAAACGTTAAAATTAACGCGAACATTGTTTGTAGGCTGCCATTAAAGAGACCGATCAATAGATCTAACCAAGTTAAAGTTACCACGAGAAGAACACACAAAACGCCGTGACCACGGCTGCTGCAAACCTTACGAAACGTCAGGCTATTGTTCAAATCAATTGTTCTTATAAAACAATATACTTCGCGTTTTAAACCGGTAAACGTAGTTTATATCTTGCTGTACCGTAATATGTTTGTACACAGCTTACAGCGTTTATGTGAGACCACAGCCTTAGCTATCACTCATAAGTTTGCCATTTAAAAGTCAACGCTAGATAAATACATAAATACCAATGAGGCCATCTGTACTGTCTTAATCCTGAATCGTTTCTTGGCAATATACGGCCAACATTATAGACGTTGATAGTTCACTGTTCGTAGACGTAGTGCTCACTAGCGGCTAACCGCGGACATGGTGTAAGACTGCGTTTATATAATGATAATAATATACAATACGAATAATCGTTGTAATATCACCATCACACGATAGACGATGGGGAGAATATGGTGGTTTAGTAAACGGCTTTAACCTAAAATGCGAAGATTTTCTTCGTTAAGAGAAATATTGCTTGGTTATTGTTCAATTATTAATTTTTTAATTAGACAAAAATAACACCAATTACAAGGATTCACAAATAACTATAAATGTAGAAAATTCCGCGAGACAAACTTTGAAAAAAACACTTTGAATTAAAATACATTCTTACTACTAAACGTGTGAATGTGTGTATGAGATATTACTGTTTTTTTATGCTTAATTAATTAATTAATAATACTTGAAAAATTACAGTATAGTACATTTGAAGAAACCTTTATATTGAATATTTAAATGGTAGAGCTAGGTCAATATCAATAAGGACAAATGTATGTTTGTTTCCTACTTCATCTTTGCCCAAACGTCGATCGTGTGATGGGGGTGACCGTGTAAGGTAACCCATATTTTGTTAGCGCAATTTTGGGGGACGCGATGTGTACGCGGCGTTCCCGGCCAAATGTAAATATTTACCCACTTACTGTTTATTGTAAGTATAAATAAGATTTATACGTTTAGTTGAATTTTCATTAAAATATTAACATAAGTTTATCTTTTATTAAACACAAACTACAATATGCAAACTTACTAATTTAACTTTATTTATCGAAATTAAACACTTTTTACGGTTTAAAACGCGAAATATTTTAGTTTACATAATTTTAATTTATTTTAATTACTTAATCACAATGGCTCTAAAGAAAATCCTTAATGTTGAAGTGAAAATCGTTACACTAGCGCCATCTGTTTCGTCATTCATTAACGACGGAACATATAGTGCTAACTTATATATTTCGTGGTTTAAACAGTTGGATATATTTTATTTAAATAATAATTTGACTCAATGTAGGGTTATTACGAATAATTAAAAAGTTACAACAAGCTGCTTCTCATTTGTCTGCGATATCCTGTTATATTTCTTGATTATATAATAGTTCTTAAGTATCACTCTAGATGTCACTATTAACGTATTCTATTACTTTAGATATGTAACATAAGAGGGCGCTAGAGGACGCTAGTAGAACTAAATGTTTTATACTCGGATGGTACTTACCTAATAATCTGGGAAAATGAAACTCACATATAATACGGGGACTAATTATAAAATAAGAAAATAGTAGAATATTTGAAAGTTGCAAATATACTGTCTAAAGTTTACGCGAGTAGTACACATTTAAATAAAAAATATTAACGGTTTAAAACGCGATATATTAGTCTCCCCGTGACCACGGCTGCTGCAAAGATTCCGAAACGTCGGGCCGAAGTAATAAATCATTTTCAAATAAGTTTCGCGTTTTAAATTGTTAAAGTGTTTTATTTATAAGTTGGAAATATATTAAATCTTAAATAGAAAGCATAGAGACGTTACGGCAAAAAGTTTATTTATTTAATTTTTTCTTTATTGTTAGAAGAGGACAGACATGGGAGGTGAAACACCCCAGCAATATAACATTTACACAGATGCGCTATCGACCTATATTGGCTTTGGATATTCGGAAATCCACAGACTGAAACCGAAAAACGATTACTTAAACTACACGGCTTTTAAAATATTATTGTATTTAAATAATTTAGAACCCAACACTGCTTACAAAGCAGACATTTAACAATTGTTATTTTAAAAAGAGATCTTTTTCTGCTTTGTAACACTAATCGTTTTATTATTATTGTTTACTAATTGGGTTTTTTAATTTATAACCTCAAAATATATGGAGATCTTATCTTGATGTTCTCTTGGTTTGTGGCTTTTCTATTTCATTCACATGAATAACTATATACATACCTAAATAAATAACCTGTCTTATTATAATTCACATACAACATAAGTACCGTAGCAAAATGTACCGACATTCCTGAATTAAACTGATTTTAACTATTATACGCTAATGAAACACCTTTCTGACCCTGTTTGAAATTTTAAATACGAGACTTGTTTTATTTTCAATTTACCTTCAAAACACCTACTTGTTACCTGACTGACTATATACTGAGTCAAAATTAACTATTACTAGTTAAGTAGAGCCGTTAAAAGTCTCCCCATTTCAAAAGAAAACCTAAGTAAAAAAAGTCACACTGAGAGACATAATGGGAAATAGATGGACCCTAATAGTAACAATGTTTTTGTTTGTACCTAGATAGATATTAGACGGCGTATAATATCTAAAAATAACGTACTTACTAGGAAGGTACTTAAAGAATTTATGAGATATTTTAGTAGTAATTTCTTCAATGTGAACAATTATAAACGTACAATTTAAATCTTTGTTGTAATCGGGTTGAAATATTATAATTATCATAGTTTCCTATTTCGATTATTGTTTTATACCGTCTGATATAATTTTACATGAAAATCCGTCTTTAGAATATAATCCGTCAAACTTTAAGAAGGACCAAATTTATTAGCGCACGCGTTTAATCAAATTTCATTATACACGCTTGACTTTTAATATATTCTAAATAAATATAAATTATGTTCTTATGACGTCAATGCACAGCAAGAAAACAAATTTATAGAATATAATTTCCACTTAATTATTCGAATACCTAAATATTTGTTCGTAAGTGGAAATTTTATTTTCTAATCATAATTCGGTATAAAAAATCTATAATCTTTCGCTTAATCGAAGTGGTGTAAGATGAGATGTGTAGCGAATTTGTTTTTATTTTAATAATACAGGAGACAAGCTAAGGGGTTTACTTGATAGTAGGTGATGATAAATAAGATACGCTGACGGCCTATTTTGGCTTTGGATCCACGGCTGTTTCTATCTGTGGACGGTGGATCGACCATGGTGGATGAACGGAAAATTTGAAACATTCGAAAATCGTGGGATCGATCCAACTGGGTCCAACGGACCCCTGAGATCGACCCCACTGATCACCACGCATTGCTACCATTAGACCAACGATCTCGTCAAAATATAAGTTGCATGAGTAAAGCAAATTGGCCATTCTAGGCTTCCCTAATAAAGAGAAGTCCTAGCAGTTTTCGATCGACGTTTAATGCAAATAATAATAGCAAAGTCACTATGAAATAAACTATTTTATTGTACTAAGCATATGTTATATGGGTGCCGATGTTCAATTTTTTTAATGATAGTTTTAGAACATCTAAACTAAAGGGGCCATTAGTAGCGTCATTTTGATAGACACAAAACACAGAAATGGGGTTTTATTAATCACGTGAGGCTTAAG